TTTCAGGTAAATGTCAAACCTTTTTATATGTATATAGATTAAGTGTTGTTGTTTTCATACAAATTTTTAAGTTGGTTTTTGTGGAGTTCATGTATTAAAGTCAATATGCACAACAATTATCTTGTTACCGAGTTGGGTGTTTTGTAGGGTTGTAAATGAGTCGGGCTTTGCTCGAACTCGATCATTTAACGAGCTAAAAAAACTGAGCTCGAGCTCAGCTCGTTTATCAATATTAACGAGTCAATCTCGTGTTTTAACGAGTCAAATTATAAAAAATTATATAAAAAATCTCTTTTCGAGCCTTATCGAACCGAGACGAGCTCGAGCTTGGCTTGTGTATTAAATGAGCCGATCCAAACTTGAGCCGAGCCGAGCTCAAAAGCGCCTCGTTTCGTTTAATAGTTCTAAAAGAACAGCTCACCCTAAACCCTAAGCCCTAAGTTCATGCTTGGATATAAATTTGTTTTTGTTTTGATTTGGGGGTTGGTTAAATTTGAAAAAGTAGGTATGGTTAGTTGTTAGTGGATATAATAAAATAATATTTAAAATAAAATAATTAAAATTAAATTGATGTAAAAGTAAGAGAGAGAAAATGTGATCTGATAGTTAGTTAAATTTATGTGAGTAGATGAATAGTGAATTAAGGTTGATGTTGTGTGTAAGAATGATTGATTGATATTATTTAATTATATTAATAATATTGATGATAATGGGTTGAGTTAAAGTTGAGTTAAAAAAGTGGTTGAGTTAAAAATGTATAGACTATAAGTATGTCTATTCTACTGGAAGGTTGATTTGATCCATGTATGGTGTGCCAATATATGTGGGAAATATGTTTGCTGTTTAATGGTTGCTTTTTAATAATTCCTTCCCATTTTTACGTTTTTATTTCTCACTAAAAAATAAATACCGACACAATACATAATTTATATCTATATTTATATCTATATCTATATAAAAAGAATTACCATTTACTAAAAATAGTAGCAAAAATTTAGGAAACATTTAATGCATACTATTTTTAGAAATTTTTTAAATATATCACTACAAGAAAATGATGATAATATTCCAACGAAAATATATTCCAATAGAATTATTCCAATGACATTCCAATAGATATTTCAATGCTATTATTTTCGTTGAAATATTTCAATGGATTCCAACGGAAATTCTAACAGAAAAGTTCCGTTGGAATGAGTTTTCCATCGGAATTTCCGTTCGATTTTGACGATTCCAACGGTAGATTTTCCAACGGGGTTGAAAATAAAATTCCAATGGAAATTTCATATTCCAACAGAAATTCCTACGGTAAAAAGCCATTGGAAATATAGCCGTTGGAATCATCAAATTCCATCTAAAATTCCAATGAAAAGCACATTCCAACAGAATATTTCTGTTAGAATTTTTGTTGGAATCATTCCAAGGAAGCTATACCATTGGAATATTCGTTGGAATTTTTATTGAAATATATTACAATAGGATTTTCCGTTGGAATATAACCATTTTTTTGTAGTGTATGCATTAATTGATTCAATTTACACGTTTTCAAATAAGACCAAATAACATATGATCAAACAATTACTTAAATAAATTTATTAATATATGCAGTATTTTTCATTGATATTTATTATAATAAATTACAAGATTGATTTTCGTGATTCATATTGATAATATTTGGTCGAGATAAATATTATTTTATTAATATTTATAATACTTTCATTGATATTCATTAAAATAAATTACAAGATCGATTTCTGTGATCCATGTTGATAATATTTTGGTCAAGATAATATTACACCATATTTTAAGTTCTAACTATAATATTAGTTTTTTTTTTTTTTTACAAATATTCACTTTTTATCCAAAAATATTTATGAAAAATCGTAACAGGTTAGGTAGAATTTTTTTTTTCCAAGTAATCAGACAAAATCAAGTTGATGAATTAATATTGCCAATATATTTGTTTCTTAAGCTTTAATTTGTTAAATATAAAAAATAAATCGTTCTTCAAATTATTATAATTTACCATTTAAGAGATAATGACCAGATACAATAAATAATTTTACTAATGGCCAAATATTTAAATTGAAACATATTAACTATTGTTTAGAACTTATTTATATATTATTGGCACCCATGATTATATTTTTTAATTTTTTTATTTTGATTTTATTTCTATAATTAAATTCTTGTAAAATAGATTTTCATTGGTGAATGCACTAAATAAACCATAAATCCTTATAATGCGATCATAGAGGGGATTGAAGTTTTTGGGATTTTCTAAATCAAAGTTGTTTAAGTAGTATAAAAAATTAAATTCTAAAAAAACATGTGTATATTTTGTAAAATATTTATACATTATTTAATATTAAATTTATATACATATTTTAAATTGATTACATAAATAAATAATACCAACGTGCATTAAATATTTTTTTCATTACATAAAAAAAGAAGACGTACAACTTCTACAACTTTATAAGTAATAATGACATTATATGACATAAAGTGTATACTAAAATAATAATTAAGTATTATATGATGAACAAGAATAAGTAAAATTGTTATTCTCTCTTATATCAAGGAATAAATATATATACTAAAATCAAATTTAAATTACGATAAATGTGTTAGTAAAATAATATATTAATTATTTTAATATCTTGACTAAAAAAATAACGTTGATTAAAAAGGTGCAAAATATATTATAACCTTATTGTTTATTATACTTAACGCTGATTAAAAGAGATGGAAAATAGATGATAATTCTATTGCTTATATACTTAAACGAACAAAGTATGTAAAAATAACTCATTTAATATTTTTGTCTCGTGCATTGCACGGGATACGTACTAGTATTAAATAAGGTCGACTATGTTTCTCACAGTCGATACCTTCTAGTATGTGATATACACAAATGTAATGACAACTTTAAATTCAGTGGTTTTTTTTTTTTATTCATTGTTTGTATGATATGAGTTCAACCCATCATTTTTTTTATTATTTCTATGTATATATATTTACTAGCAAAGTAAATAATAAACATATTATGATTTTCCTCTAAAAGACTTCACAACATAAATTATTATTATTTTATTTATTTTTCTAGATATATAGAGATGGAGGAACAAAAAATCAATGACATTTGTCCACTCTTCTTTCATTTAATTATAAAAACTCACCGTTACTTTTTTTTTTTATTAATAGTTACAATCATATTTGTTAACGTATTTATCACATAATATTTACTACTAAAATTAACCAATTAAGAATTCACAATAATATTTATGGAAATTATACACTTGTAAAAATAATTATAAGAAATTTTTTCTTCCATTTTTTTTTTAATTTTAAATATTACATCATCATTTTAATTTTATCTCATTAAGCAACCTTTTTTATAGCTACTTGGTTTAATGGAATAACAAACTCTTTAAAACAAATACATAATTTCAATAATAATAATAATAATTATAATAGTAGTAATAATAATAATTTAATTGTTCTCAACCAACTAATTGGTTTAGATCCATTAATTCACTAAGTACATTATTCATTGTATTATTTTGTCATATAATATATTGTTTGTTGTTGTGTGCATGTACACAAGCTTCATTACTAGTATTATTTTAAAGTTTGTAAATTTCATAAATGTTAATTAATTAATGAGAACCGCCTCGTTTGACAGCTGAAGCTTGGAATTGTTTATACACGTTATTCAAAACAAGTTGGCTGAAAACAGCCAAAATGATGCCAATTCATTCAATTAATTTATATTGTATAAAAATGCCACTTGTTTCCTATATTGAAATTTGGTCATTTGTATAAAATGTGCATAATTGAATTTACAGTGTTATTGACAAACATTGACCTTGTTAGAAGTGTGACTTATGGCGCTCATAGTTTTTAAACTCGGCCCGGTAATCGACTCTGACAGGTTTCTGAGTCATCGGTCATTGGGTCAATTGTTGAACCGGATAATTTATTTTAAAATTTTTAAAATTATATATAAAATATTTTTGTCATATAAATATACATAAAATTAACAAAATTAAATGTTTTGTGCATAAAATTTGTACATTAAAGTGTTAATAATATGCATCTCATGATACTATTTACTATATAAACATATATACATAGTTTTATTTGAAAAAAAATTAAAAAATTTAAAAAATATATATGGCCCGGCTCACCCGGGTTGGCCCGGCCGGGTCAATGCACCGAGTCGCTCGAGTTGGCCGGATTTTGACCGAGTCCTTTGTTGTCCGGTCTAAATAGCCTACCCGACCGGTCCCGGATCGACCCGTCGGGCCGGTCCGGTTCAAAAAACTATGATGGCGCTAGAAAAACACAAAACAATGCAACTGAAAGAGTAAAGAAACGTGTACGATAGAGTATGAACATGTCAGAAGCCCTAATTAATGAGCACTCCGGGCACTGCCGTAAAGCTGTCGGTTGATCCCCGGCTAGACCCTCTTGATTTGCACAACAGCGAGTTACCCCGACCCAACGAGGTGTATTGGCAGAATTCGTCTCCCTTGGTACCTTAAAATAAAGTCTCCCTGGGGCCGACATTGATTTGGCTCAATAATTGGCACAAGAGTTCGAGTTCGAGGTCGACTCAATTGAAGAAGACTCCTTTCAAGTTGACTTTAATTTAAAGAGACTGTTGTAACTTAGTGTATTGGAAAGAACTATGAAGCCAAATGTTGTTCGTCGATACTATATGTGGCCCATTTTTCTTGAATAAACTAAACTACTCCTATATAGAACGTACAATTAATCAATAACTATTATTTATTTTATAAGGCAGTCAACATGTAAAATTCAATAATTGAATAGCTTAAATTAGTATATAAAAGAAGACCATTTGGCCTATCATTTCTATTCAATCTCTCATCTATATATCAAACTTTCACCACCATTTTTCTTTATAAATTTCGATACAATTCTAAAAATAGCTTAAATTAAAAAAATAAAAAAAAAATCACAAAATCACTATGGCCTGGATTTGGGCAACCACCATATTAGCCATCATGTTCTTTTACATCCTCCAACATTATTATCTGCTAAAGAAAAGAAAACTTCCTCCTGGCCCAATGGGTTTGCCGGTCGTAGGCCATTTCCACCTTTTGGGCAAGAACCCGCACCACGATCTGCACGGGCTGGCCCGAAAGCATGGGCCCATCATGCACTTGCGGTTCGGGTCCGTCCCTACGATCGTTGTCTCGTCGCCAGCCGCAGCCGAGCTCTTCCTCAAGACACACGACCTCGTTTTTGCCAATAGGCCTCATCACGAGGCCTCTACTTACCTTGGCTACCAACAAAGGAACATCGTTTTTGGAAGGTACTAAAGTTTATTTTGATCTTTTTAAGATAACTAGTGCGGTACCCGTGTGATGCACGGTCTAAGTTTATTATGGTAAACATAATCTCAAATTAAATTAAAAAAAAAATTGCACATGTAAACTTCATAAGACCTCATTTACTCACCACAGGTACGGCCCTTACTGGCGCAACATGCGAAAACTCTGCACCATTGAACTATTAAGCAACCTGAAAATCAGTCAATTTCAGCCAATGAGAGAAGCCGAGCTCGGCCTCCTAGTACATTCACTCAAGAATGCCGTCGAAAACAAAGAAATAGTCGACATGAGTGCGAAGATTATGTCCTTAGGTGCCGACATGACTTGCCTAATGGTTTTCGGCAAGAAATTTTCCGACCGGGATTTGGACGTGAGAGGGTTCAAAGACGTGTTGAAAGAGACGATGGAAGAGGCCTCGGCTTTTAACCTCGGCGATTATTTTCCTAGTCTCCGGAGGTTCGACCTTCAGGGCTCGGGTCGTAGGTTGAAAAAATTGAGTGAGATTTTCGACCGGTTTTTGGAAAGAATCATTGATGATCATGTGAAGAATAGAGATGAGAAGAAAGAGACAAAAGATTTCGTGGACACGATGATGGGGATTATGGAGTCCGGTGAAGCTGGATTCGAATTCGACCGACGACATGTCAAGGCCGTGCTATTGGTAAGACCAATTTTGTTACTAGGTGGAGTTTTTTTGTTCACTAATGAAACATAATATTCAATGTGATACACTATAGTTCAAAAATGGTAGTGTATGACTGCAAAAGAGTCGAGTCGAGTCGAGTCGAGCATGGACCTTGTCGAGATCGAACTTTTTTCTTTACTGCTTGAGCTCGATCTCGACAAGCACACGATTCGACTCGTGAAAAAAAAAAATAATGCTCGAGCTCGACTAGATGCTCGACATGGCTCGAGTTCTACTCGAAATTTTAACAATTAAATTTCAAATTGGAAGGTACTATTTTTATTTAAATAGATAATTTTTTGGTCCTTTTGTAATTAAACTGTATGAAGTATATTTATAAATAAAAAATCGAGCTTACGAACCTTTTGAAATGACACTCGAAGCTCGACTCGTTTGCTTGATTGAACAGCTCGAGCTTGAGTTTGTCCGAGCTCGACTCAAGCATTGCTCGACTCATTGCATCCCTACTGACAAGTTTGCGGGTTGCGACACAAATTGAGTTCAAGTGCCACATTTATTTTTATTTTCTAGTAAAAATTGCCACTAATTTTTCATTTTTTCCGACACCAATCCCGAAAAAGCGCAGGATATGCTGCTAGCTGGAATGGACACATCATCAGCAGCAGTTGAATGGGCCCTGTCGGATCTCATCCGTCACCCAACCGTAATGAAAAAGTTGCAAAGAGAGTTACACGAAACCGTGGGCATGAACCGTATGGTCGAAGAATCCCATCTCCCGAGCCTCAAGTACCTCCATTGCGTCATCAAAGAATCAATGCGGGTCCACCCGGTCGGCCCACTGCTAATCCACGAGTCCATGGAAGACCGTGAGGTTGACGGGTTTCACATACCAAAAACCGCTCGGATCTTGATAAACGTGTGGGCCGTAGCAAGGGATCCAAGTGCTTGGGAAAACCCGGAGATATTTTCGCCCGACAGGTTTCTTGGCAGCGATGTGGATGTTCGGGGACGAGACTTCAAGCTCATACCTTTCGGTTCCGGGAGAAGGGGGTGCCCTGGGCTGCAATTGGGCCTGACGATAGTTCAACTGATCGTAGCCCAATTGGTTCATTGCTTCGATTGGGAACTTCCGAACGGGATGTCGACTGGCGAGCTGGACATGTCTGAAAATTTCGGGTTGGTGACGGCGAGGGCTACACATCTCATGGCTATACCTTCATACAGATTGCATAAGTAAAAATAAAAATGGCAACTACAAAAATTGTCAAACAATTGTTACAGTGTGAACCATGGCTTATGGAGATAAGCCAAATTATACAACCATTGTTATTGTTTGTGCAAGTTCGTGTTCGTGCTTGTCGAATCTTAACAAGTCGACACGAGTCATTGAGTAAACGAACTTTAAATGAGCTCGGCTTGTTTGAACTCGAGTCTTAACGAATTGAATTCACGAACAACTACATTTACGGCTGTTATCGAACCGAACCGAGCTTAAGGTTTTCGGATCGAGTTCGAGTAATTTTCGAACATATTCGTGTTTGTTCATTTAATATTCGAAAAAAAAATCGTTCGTGTTTGTTCGCTTAATATTCGGAAAACAAAATTAGTTGGTGTTCGTTCGTTTATTGGTTCAACAAGTTTGTGTTTGTTCATTAATATAGTCGAACTTGTTCGTGAACTATTGGAATTGTTCGACAAGTTCGTGTTCGTGCTTGTTGATTTTTTTTTATTTTAATACCATACAAGTTATTTTATAATATTTAATATATATCCATATTTATATATTATATTATATATAGTATAACAAGTTCTCGTTTAGTTCGAGAACATATCCGTGTTCGTTCGATAACTAAACGAGCATAATTCAAACTCAATTCGGTTACTAAACAAACGATATGTTATCGAACACCAATTATGAATACGAACAAACTTTGTTTGAAAACAATTCGATTCAATAAAGGCCTAGCTACATCCTTAGACTAGTTTAAGAATATTTTATTTATATAATGTACAATGATATTGATTTATTGTATTACACTAGTACAACACCCGTGTATTACACGGTTGTTTGCTAATTTTTTTCTTAAAATCTAAAATTAATAAAAAAAAGTAGTTTGAAAATTTAAATACCTTTTATAAGAATATATATATTATTATATATTTATTATGACACTTTTTATTTATATGCGACTTACTTGTGTTATATTATGCTAATTTTTTTTTAACTTACAATATATAACTACATTACATATAAATATATCAATTGAGAAATAATTTATTTTTCTAATAAATTTTAATAAATATTATTATTTTTTATTATTATAAAGATAAATATAATTTATTTATTTCATATATACAATATGGATGTCAAATCGAAAATCATCAAAAGATGATTAATTTGATATATTATATATGTAAAACCGATAAGAAATACAAAAGTTATCAACTTTTAAAATACATTTATAATTCAATAGCTTATTGAAGGAAACAAATCAAAATTCAGGATATATTAGTCACTTAGTGCCTCACTATGTAAAATTACAAAAAATTAAAGGGTTATATTAGTAAAAGTGATATTAAAATACCTAAGTTAGTTAAATAATATTTATGGAATACCTGAACCTAGATGATTAATTATTAATATATCAATATTACGAAGCATGATTTTTCGCCAAATAGGATTCCGAAGCACCAGAAGCAGCCACGTAGACTCAGCGCATTCAGGAATTATATATAGGGAGGATGTGTGGTTTGAATTGAATATTGAAATAGTTCGATTCATTATGATCAATATTTTAAAATGCGTACAACGTAATTCGTCGCGTTTGTCTTTATACTGCGTAGCGTAAATAGAAATATAACAAATATTTTTTTTATATATAGAAATATAACAAATATTTTTGCATATAATAAAACTGGATGGTTGATTACCAAAATTGTCATAGTATTTGAATGACTTAAAAAATAATATATAAGGATTATTTCTCATAAATATTTAATGTAAGTATCATTATAATATTAAATAATAAATCTAATATACTGAAAAATGAAAACAACCACAAAAATATAATTAGGTAATTCATAGTATAATTTTTAGTATATGTATTTTAATTATTATTTTATTATTTAACTACAACTTAATTCTAACCATTAAATATGAACTTTTTATTCATTATTTAAATATCATATAGAAAAATAAAATGATATAACAAAAGTGGACCGATAAATATTGCACTATTCAACTTAGGACTTTGCATTTTCAAACTCTTAATTTGAAATCATTATCAAAATTATTAGTTGGTAATTGTCATTCGTAAATATAACTGTGATCCCTAAAAAATAAAAGTTTTTGAATATTTTATTGTTCAAATGTGGTTGTAGAAATATAGCGCAATTTAGCGAACAATAGCATGTCATATCGACATTTTGCGCAAGTTTTTCAGGAAAAAACGCTATAATGCTACGTCGCGTTTTTTCGAAAATAAGCTGTATAGCGAGCAATTCTATTTAAAACAATGATTGTGATTGAGTCCACTATTTCATTGGACACACGCAAGTGACACGACAGAGAAGGAACAAAAAACACAAGAATGGCCTGGTTTTGGGCAGTGACCTCTGTGTTGCTATTTCTCTGGTTTCTTCATCAGAAGCTCCGGGGATGGAAGACCAAGAAAAAACTGGCGCCGGGCCCAGTTGGATTACCGATCTTGGGCCACCTGCACCTGTTGGGCAAAAATCTCCACCGAGATCTACACCATCTGTCCCTAAAACACGGGCCCATCATGTCCCTCCGCCTGGGCCTCGTCCCCGCCGTCGTCGTCTCCTCCCCCGCCGGCGCCGAGCTCATCCTCAAAGCCCACGACCTCGTCTTCGCCGGCAGGCCCAACCACCAGGCCGCCAGGCACCTGAGCTACGGCCGGAAAAACATCCTCTTCGCGCCGTACGGCCCCTACTGGCGCAACATGCGCAGGCTGGCCGCCCTCCATCTGCTCAGCAGCCAGAGGATCGACGAGTTTCGGGATGTGAGGCGGTCCGAGCTGGGAAATCTGGTGGGCTCCCTCCGGCGGACCGCCGGAAGGCGGGAGCCCGTGGATCTGAGCGCGAGGGTGTCGGGCCTGAGCGGGGACTTGACGTGCCTGATGGTTTTCGGGAGGAAATACGAGGACGGCGATCTCGACGAGAAAGGGTTCAAGGCCGTGATTGAGGAGACCCTGCAGGTGGCGGCGCTGCCGAACCTCGGGGACTTTTTCCCGTTCATGGGGGCTGTCGATCTGCAGGGGCTAACCCGGCGGATGAAGGAATTGAGTAGGGTTTTTGATGGGTTTTTGGAGAGGATTATTGACGATCATGTTGCGAGTAAGGGAGAAGGGAAAGAGGCTGGGGATTTTGTGGACACGATGATGGCTATCTTGGAGTCGGGCGAGGCTGAGTTCGAGTTCGACCGCTGTCATGTCAAGGCTGTGCTGTTGGTAGGTGCCCTGTATTTGTTTGATATATTGCCTGAATGAGTTCTGCTTTTATAACAACTATAAAACAAAGTGTGTAGATTTTGGGAAATTAACTAGAATACCGTTCAATCCACACATCGATCAAGACAGTCGAAAAAATGGATTTTAACAACCAAGATTAAGAAAAGTAGGAGTTCACCTACATTTGATTTTATCCTTCAGGACATGCTTGTTGGAGGAACAGACACTTCAGCCGCCACAATCGAGTGGATTCTCTCGGAGCTCATTAGGCACCCAGAGTGTATGAAGCAACTCCAGAGAGAAATAGAGCACGTAGTAAGCATGGACCATCAAGTAGAGGAATCCCACCTCGACAGGCTCGAATATTTGAACTCGGTCGTGAAGGAAACTCTCAGGCTCCACCCGGTGGTCCCATTGTTGATCCACGAGCCCACAGAAGATTGCATGCTAAACGACTATCACGTCCCCAAAGGATCGAGAACCATAGTGAATTTGTGGTCCATCGGAAGGGACAATAACGTGTGGCATGACCCTGAAAGGTTCATACCCGAGAGGTTTATTGAGAAGAGAGTGGATCTCAAAGGGAAAGATTTCGAGCTTATACCGTTTGGTTCGGGAAGAAGAGGGTGCCCCGGGTTGCAGTTAGGGTTAACGGTGGTTCGTTTGGTGGTGGCCCAGTTGGTGCATTGCTTCGATTGGGAACTTCCCGGTTGTGTGTCGGGTGTGGATTTGGATATGACTGAGCACTTTGGGATGGTGACCGATCGAGAAAAGCATCTCGTGGCCATTCCCACGTGGCGACTGAATGTTGAGTTGGAGTTTGTTCGGTTTGTTGTATATTATTAACGAACTAATTAGTCTCTGTTCAAATATAAGCCCGTTGATGATGGTTGATAGTCAAAATATTGCATGTGTAAATTCATGGTTAATCGGAATTGTGCAAG